AGGATTGCAACCTCCAGCCTTCAAGGCACAAGACTGAAAATGAAGAACTTCAACTTATGTAGCTTGTGCAAATCATGTGACCTTTTTGCTATGTTCTTCTGTTAACCCCATGACAGTTTATAGCTTCAGTCGGCTAAGTAGGCTGTTTAACGCGACTGAGAGCAGATCTGTCGATGTTTTAGTAAACTTACTTCTACAGTATTATGTTTTTCTCATGCTTCAGGCAGAAGAGAAGTTTGTGGATTTCAGGGTCAAAGGATAGAAACTATTAGTAAAATATTGCTTATGACGACATGTAAGTACATTCTTGAAGAACAATAATTACTTTCCATTTTCCATTGGAGCATCAGTTGTGTATTCCCATGTGCTAGGAATACACAACGAAAAAATGCATTGTGAATTTAAAACCTGGATTTCAACTCTTTACAGTAACTCAAAATTGATATATTTTTTCTTGCAAAGGCAAGCAGGAGAAGATGGTATTACTCAGGAGAGGTTCCAGCTTGTGTTGTCTTCAGGAAAGCCAAAATGAGGTTGTGATCAGCCCCTAAACCTCTTTGGCACAGCGTCTCAGCAATCTTTTATGAGTATCAGATATTTAAAGGAAATAAAATGCTGGTGTAGAGACACTGAGTATTTCAACATGCTGATTGTACACTTGTCTTTAGGGCACAGGAACCAAATAACCTGGAGTCTAATGGGTATGCATACAGAGTTTTACTCCTCTTGGTATTGTGGCTCTCGCCCTGGATCACGTCTCCACTCTAAATTCTAGATTGTCATAGTTTAATCCATGCTTCTGCATGGCCTCTGTCTGGGGAAGCAGCTGGAGTTGTATTGACGTAATTGCCTTTACTGAGTTTGAGAATGCCACTGCCTTTTGTTTGGGTTGTACAACTTCGTTTAGTATCAGACTCTAGGTTGTTCCCAGATGCCACAATAGTGGTTAACTGCTGAAAGTGCTTACTCCTCCTCCTGTGCGTTAGTGGGACCTTTTATCCCAAATAGTTGTGTCTTCAATTAACAGATTTGCAGGAACTCAAAATGTGCTGAGACCTCTTGAAGACCTTGTCTTTTTCCAGTATATTTTCTGTTTATGAAGCTGTCACTGTCCCTGCGGCAAGTGCGTTAGTGTGTTTGTCTGGACCTGCATTTGCTTTCTTTGGCAGTTTGGTTGGAGTCGAGTGTTTACATGAAACTATGTTATGAGTGTATCTACAATGAAGCGCCTTATGAACGAAGCTCCTTCATTTAGCTCAGGCCTTGGAAGCACCAGGACAGCAATTCACCCAGGTCAATTAGCCCTACTGAGTGCCAAATACATCGTTCCAAAAAGTTTATTCTTTCTCTGTATGTAATGTCACATAGTTGCAATGTTTGGAATGAGTAGGTCTCATATGAAAGTGAAAGGTGTATGCGGGGAATTAGCTTCACTTTCTTGCAAAAGACTGACTAAATTGTAGCTAACATTATGCGCGTTAGGACCAGAGCAAAGGAATGTTTAGTGCAAGGTATACAAAACATACGTATTTATGGCAGTGCTGCTGTTTGTTAAGGTTAAAAATATTTTTCTTTCTGATCAAGTTAATTTTTTTTCTGACTTTTGCCCTTTGCCTTGGGCTGATGAGCTGGTCTTTTGCTATTTTACTCTGTAATATTGATTTTTATATAGTGAGAGCTATGTGGTTAATATTGCAACAAAGCAGTGAAATGCTGATTAGTGGGATGCATACAGCCTGCGTGGTTTAGGAGTACTAGAACGTCTGAAAGCGGGAATTAGCTTTGGGGATAAGTGGTTGTCTTCATTACTGAATATGTCAAAGATGATGTGAAACCATCATTGCTAACCAAAAAGGGGCCTGTGTTTTGCCATTGAGCAAGCACTGCCAGCTAGTCCATTTAGGGAAAAGAAATGGTCACGTGAAACTCTTACGGAAAATTAATTGCTTTATATGACATGCAAAGCATGCTATGGTTGGTGGCTAACTGTATGCCTGTTAAATATGCATTGACACGTGTGTGAATGAATGCATTTTGTATCCTGTCTGCCTAAAACTTGCAGTCAGCCATGCTGTAATTTCTGATGGTCCCAATGCCTCCCAGTCAAGAGTAGTAGCTTTGACTAGGCTTACAGTCTGTGAGCCAAGCATAGTATCAGCTGAGCTAGGAGAGACTGAAAATGGCAAAGCCTATAAACATAATGAAAAACAGAACAAAAGAAGAACATTTGAAAAGTATTCAGAAGACCATTAGAGCAAAGAACAAAGTGAGAGGAAAGGGAAAACTTTGGGGTTTGCATGATACAAAAGAAAAGTCTGATGGGAGTGGGGACTTGGGGAATGGAAGGGTTCATTGTCATTTAGCATTGTAAAAGGTTGAATGCAGTTTATTATACACCTGCTCCCTGCCAGTTTTCATTTTATTTTTCTGTGGTAAGTTGTCAAAAAAAAAAAAAAAGCCCTCTGCCTGGTTCCTATGTTATGCATGTTTACATAAGCTAGGTCAATATTCTGTGAATGTGAAATGCATGCTCTGCACTACTCCATTTTCAATCTCTCTTTTTTTTCTTTTCCTTTCTGTTCTGTAGATTCCACCAATATGCAAACAAACATCATGGCAGACTCTGGGGAGAGGTTATTCAAGACCATTATTAGATGCTGCAGAGGTAGGTATAAATTTTTTTCCTTCTTCCTACTTGCAGATGGGAGGAAGCTCAAGACCTTGGTGCATCTTTCAGTTTGTTGCCTCTCTCTCATATTTTTTGGAAATAATTTCCCTATGGTTCCTAAATGTAGCACTTCCCTCAAGAAGTCTTTTTGAATCTCTGAAAGCTAATGCTAACATAGTAACTTAAAGAGAAAAGTTCTTAGGTATGTAACTTTTGGTTGTTGACCCTTAGATTCATGTAGTCTAACGTTCAGAAAAATGTGTAGAAAGCAATAAGCTTTCCTGGAGTATGTAGGACTTTATTACTTCAAGATTCTGCATAGTTTGGGGAACGTCAAGACACTTAAGAAATTTATAGCTTGTCGTTCTGAGTGTCAGGATGTCAGGTTCTTATTCCTTCGAGGTCTGCTTGGCTTAACGCTAATGTAAGCATAAGATGTAACTTTTACAGTTCCTGGAAAATTATGTTATACATTTCCAAGTAGTACATACGGTCTGAATGACACTAGAAAATGTATTTGTCTGGAACTTCTTTTTTTTTTTTTTTTCCCTCCAATAAACCACTCGTAGAACTGACTCAAGAAGCAAGACTCTTTTGACAGTCCGTAGGACTTCAAAGCATGAAATTGACTTGGATGGTTTTTGATAATGTTCTTTAAATAAGAAAATGTAACTTTGAATCAGGAAATCCTGATTTCTGCAGGGGTTCTGGACCAGGTGAACTTGTCCCTGTCATGGCACCGGTAGGCCATTCTCATCCTGATTGGAAAGTGTGAAGCTGATTTATTTCCATCTTTATTTTGCTTCCGAGATTAAAGTTAATCTTTCATACACGGGAAGAGGTTTATTGCCTAAATGTGTTCCATTTTGTTCGTTAACGTGTCAGGAATATCGTCCTCTAAGACTTTCTTTTCTACGTTTTTTTACTCCACTTTTAAGTTTGTAGTCATCCTTTTTACTTAAATATGTAAGGCTCTTTTGTCTTTACCTTCTGGCTGCTTGCAACACGTTCTTTGCTATACTGCTAGATTTATGGTCCCTTTCTTGTTATTGTTTTCTTAAGGTGAGGCAAGGTTTGTAGAGAGAGGTAATATCCTTTATTAAAGCAAGGTAATACAGTTGAATGGGAGGGAGGGAAAACAGATCACTGGTTCTTCTTTCTTCATTGGTTTTTAAATGCATGTTTCCTGAGGTTTTTGCAAATTGACTTTTCTTTTTCACGCAGATGCTCCAGAGGTGGCAACTGATAGAAAAGAGAACGTGTTGGCATGGTCATGCAGGTGGAGGACTTCACACAGATCCAAAGGAAGGGGTAAAAAAAAAAAAAAAAATTGCTTAATTAGTGTTACTCTTTAAATCAAAAGTATGTTCACCTTTGTACAAAAGCTGAACCCCCTCAAATAGCAATTTGTGAGAAACTGTATTGATAGATAATATGTGAACACTGTAGCAGAGTAGATACTGTTTAATTGTTAGTGTTGGCTTACTAGCTCTTAAGTCACCACGTTTGCAATAGCTGTTTTAAAGTGCTTCAGTTGTTTTATTAAAAATAGAACCCTAATTTCACACATTCCCTTGAAATCTGCTTGGTAGATTTTTTCTCTGTGATAGGTATGTTCCATTGTGATTTAACGTGGTTACTTATTCTTGTTTGTGACTGATGCTTCCCTGTGAATTGACATTCATATTGGCAGGACTTAGTTTGTGGATACAAGCCAGGGCATCAGGTGTTGCCATTGCAGTTGAAGTGGGGGCAGGGGGAGTAATTAACTGTTTACTGTGCATGTCTAATCACTTTGATTTAATGTTAATGCATCTGATGTATTTTTACTGTATTTATATGCAGGAAGCACCTGTCTTAAAATGATGATGATGGGTGTGTAGGGAGAAGCAGTATCTTTTATTAGACTACATGATTACAGTTATATAAATAGGCAGGCTTTTAGTTAAAACACTTTAAAATTTTGCATTATTAAAATTCAAAAATCAAAGCACTCAAGTTAGGAAGTGAGAAAATGGAAGTTACATATGCAGACTTATTTCTGATGCTTTGTGTATTTTCAGATTGATATCGCACAGCGGTTATAACTTATTCAAACTTGAGTGGGATGTCCCTAAGACTAGCAAAGGCCATACTGATGACAAACTTTAAAACTCATTGCAGAACTCGGGTGTCTTAGGGCTATTCATAGAAAGGCCTGGTTTGCTTGTGTTTAACAGTTCTGACCATTTTCCACAGACTCATTCCTAAAAGACTCAAACGGTTGTACCTACAATTTCCTCTTACATTTTAGTCTGAGAAGTATTCCTTCAAACCTGTTTGTGCTACAGTCAGGAGGGACCCTGCTGAAATTGGATACTTTTATAGTAGCAGAGTATTTGGTTACATAAAGTATACCAAGTTTGTTGTAGCAAGCATCTCTGATTTTTTTCTGCATAAGGCACAAGGGGGAGGCAGAAGAATTGGACATCTTCAGTAGGTAGCGCTACTGGCCCTGTGCATAATATTAGTTTTAGACATGTTTTACAACCTTCTTGCAACATTTACAGGCTCTTTCAAAGATCTTCTAGGCAAAACACACTTAAAACTAGCAGACTATTCTCCCTATTTACCCCAATTACATTATGAGTGGTATTTCTTCTGTGAAGGGGAAGGCAGCAGTGGTCGTTTGTCTGTTGGGGTTTTCTTGATTGGGGTTTTTTTTTTTTTTTGTTTTTTTGTTTGTTTTTTTCCTATTATAATTTCTGTTCTCCTGGGCATGTTGATCGGCAGAGTATTTTCTATCAGTTGTCAGAACTTCAGTTTTCACATCTCCATGGAAAAGATATTTTACACACACTTTTAGGACAAGCCCACCTTCATATGGTGCTGATGCAAATCTGTTTCCCAGGCAACTTCACAATTGACCCACCTTCAACAATGCCACAAGGTTTTTATTTTTTCTTGAGAAAGAGACTTCCTGAAGTGCAGAGCTTTTTCAACTGAACCCCTTCAAACATGAAGGGCAACTTTCAGGACAAACTTGTTTAGTCCTTATATCTTGTATATTTGCTTTGTAGTGGTTCCTTTTCAAAGGTCTGCAGTTTAGCATCCTTCAAAACTTAAATTTCATTTTTTTCTGATCAGAAAGGAAAAGCAAAGTTCTGTTTACCAGAACACTAGTAATATTAAGAAAGGGTGAGTGTTTCATTAAAATTTGCTAGGAATGTGATAGCCAGAAATTTTGTTGTCAACGGATATTTTTATTGGTCTGCATTCTGTGCTCATGCATTATTTGTAGCTATTCCTGCGTAAGCCAGTTCCCCGACTTTTTTTTATTCCAATAAATGAAGTTGTAATGCAGTTAATATAGGAAAATGTTAATTATGGATATTGCCTAACTAAGCAAATATTGCAAAGGAGAAAGCAGCAAGTATTAGCTGTAGAAGCAGTGAAATGCATGGAGAGGAAGAAAGAGTAACAGTAGGTGCAAAAGCCAGAGGTTTTGGGCAAAAAGGAAGGGAAGAAAATCTGATATTGTGAGTGCAGTCCTTGCACTCGTAATGGGACTCATAATGGGCTCTGAAATTTGGTTGGTAATGGCTTTTGCGGTGACAGTTTGCAATTATATTCAATGCATGAAAGTACTGGCACCCAAATTACCGTGTGGGAATTTTTTTTTCTAGGCTTATGCTTTTAGGAAAACAGCAGCTGGTATACATGTCAGCTATGTTACACCTGTGCCTCTCTCCAAAAATTTTTGACAAACCAGCATGTTCTTTCTGGAAACCGACTTTGGGACGGACGTTTTAAGTTGCCCCTTCTGTGGCAACTTCAGGGGAGGCAGGGCTGAACGCTGATGCTAAACAAGGAGTGTGAGGGGTGGTAGGTCTTATCCGCGTTTTACAAGTGACTAGAATAGAAGCGCATCTGGGCTTGCGCATCTGTTTTTGTTACAAATCCCTTTTACTTGCCACGGTGGCCAGTGTGCTGAGGACTGAAACTGGAAAAATTACTCTTCTTTACCATCTTCGATTCGTTTATTGTGTATGGTAGTATTTTGTACACAGAATAGCTAGCAATAAAACCTGTGGTGTCTGACCTGTTGCGAAGCAGTCGTATATTGCTTTCTTATGGAGATGCCGATAGTCATGATGGAGCCCTGAAAATTAGCCTGCCCCCTACCACCATCTTATTCTGTTGCTTGACCTCCACGGAGGGATGGATAAGACTAAGACGGAAGACTAGGCGCTTTGCTTTACAAAGTTTAGAAGGAAAATTCAGGCCCTAGTTTGATGTGTGTTTAAGCTGGCAAGGCACCTGAGAAGGGAATCTGTCCTCCTTCCTCACCCAGGTGGCCTGTTCCAAAGCGTTGCGCAGCCTGGTAGCCAGCCAGCGTGAAGCGCTCTGGCTGAAAAATAACTGATCCAAATGGGAGGAGACCCCACCAAGCAGCTAACGCGACTTCACTCAGCGCAAACTGCTTATCATGAGCTGAGACAATCTAAAGGCCTGCTGCTTCCAAAAAAAGAGAGGTCTTGCTCTCAGCCGTGCCTTTTCTCATGCTACCAAATTTGCACGTTAATCTGAGTCTTTCCCGAGCTGAAACCGTGCAACCGAGACCAAAGTTCTCTGCCAGTTTCATAAGCTGAATCCATTCATCGAGGGGTTTCATGAGCTCCAGAGCTGGGGCCAGAAGTGGACAGAGACTGTACAGCTGAGTGCTGGGAAGAGAGGAAAAAGAGGGGGAGGAAGACGGCGTCAGCGAGCCGTGAGTAGTTTGCGGTGTAACCTCGTGCAGGTGTAAGAAAGCTTGGGCTAGCACGATGCCGAGGATGATGCAGCTCCGTGAGTGAGTGCACGGGGCCAGAACAGGGTCTTTCTTTCCTCATCAGCACTGACAGCTTAAGTACAAATGGATACAAGAAGGTACTCAGTGCTCGTTCCTTTGCAAGTAGTCTACAGTATTTGGTAGGGCGTTTTAAAAGCATGATAAATCTGAGAAGAGAAGAGAGAGGGAGGAAAAAAAGAACTTTTCTTCCCTACTACCTGCTGTGTTATAAATCTACTGCTTTTCCTTCCGTTCTGTATTTTCTTCCAAGCCTTATCTCTACAACAATGGACAGAACGTTACTGCCACTTAAAAGGAGGTAAAACAAACGCCTCTGTCTTAACCTTTTCATATACTGTAGAGAATCAAGTAAAGGGGCCTGAGTGCATTGAACAGGTTGCTCATTTTCATTCTTAATGTTGCCACTTGCATACTTAAAGCATTTTAAACTCATGTTTCTGTACAACGTTTCTGTTTCAGTAACAACATTTATTTCATGGTAAACTTGGATGTAATGTGCGTTTTGTACCTCCTTTGATATTTCTTCTTGTCCCTTTGACAAGGCCTTTGGCAAATGACTGGCTGCCTTCTGACTTTTTTCTTTTTTTCTGAACAGATTATTTGGTTCTGTCACCGTTCAGAGCCATGGAGAAGCTGAAATGGATTCCTTGTTTGCAGCCAATGCGTTTCTTTCGTTCTAATTGCTTTTCTGCAAAGTCTGACTAGCCAATAGCAACATATAATTAGAACAACTGTGGTTGCACTAGTAGCTTTTGTGTTAATGTGATACCATTTTTTCCTTCCTTTTAACCTGTAAGTGGTGATCAAAGGTATTTTCTAAATGTTTGAAATACGAGGCTATTTATGCACATCCTTAGCTCAAAAGGAAGGATTCATGTATATGCTGCAGCAGATATCTCCATCTCCTGCATGAGTAGGGCACAACAGAGAAATATTATTTTGCACCCTCTGCTGATTTACAAATAAGCCATATATCTTTTTTTTTTTTTTTAAGTCCCCTAAAATGTGCTTATGTTTTGCGACGCTCAAATATGCTTGCCGTTGTTGACAAAGTATATACGATCTCTCTTATCCTTTTCTCTTTGAAGCTGTGACTAGAAACACTGAGGTGAGTTATTCTGTGCTTGCAGAAGCTTAAGTTTGTAGGACTGGCTTCACCGGCCGCTGCAGCAGTCTCTTCAAATTGGGACTTCCATGAGAGTTTGTGTTCTGATTTGTTTTATTCCCAAAACTGAGAAGGGAGCGTTTGAAGTACACAGACTAGGGAGGGGAACATTAAAGACATTGTGAAACACCCTCTCTGTGCGGACTTCTGTTATGAAAAGTCATCGTCAAGTGTGGACTAACTTTCTCTTCCACCTGCCCTCCACCCCAACAAAACATGGCCTGAAATGGAAAGATTAGCTGCTAGTTGCTGGCCTCCCTTCAGCTGTAGATAACCTTCGTGTCATTCAAGATTATCCAAGAGCATCCAACACAGAAAAATGAGTTGTCGATACTTTTGCTGTGCAATACTGCGTGTTCTGTTGTTCTCAGTTGGAGAGCACGGTTTAGGCTTCAGGTAGTATGTTTAGCTTTGGAGCCTATTGAAATATATCTCGCATAACTGTTAAATTTAAGCATCCATACATAAAAATGTTTTGTTTATTTATTTTTGTAAAGACAGAGATATTTCTCAGACTTGTTATCTGAGTTGTGGTCTCATTTAGAAGGAAGCTTGAGGTTTGGAGAAGTAAAACAAGAATCCATTTAAAAAAAAAAAAACAAAGCGGGAGCCCTACTGGTTAAGCTAGCCTGCGGCCAGGCACGTTACATCTTAGCAGCCTCTTGATGACCTAACTCCAGAGCCCTTTCTCTAAAATGAAGCAATGACATTTTATGCCCGGTTAAGCCAACTAGAATAGTTTTCTTGCCTGTAGTCCCGACTTCTTGGTGCACCCATCGAAAGATTACCCTTTGCGTTCCTGAAAGACATGGGCAGAATAATGGTATTTATCACTTCTCTGTAAGTGGAATAAAATAACCAAAACCAATAAAACTGACTGTTGGAAATGCTTAAGTCTGTGGTAATGCGACAAAGTTATGTGTCTGAAATTATTTTCAAGTCAATGTAAAATTTCACTTCAGAAGTGTTTAGTTTGAGAGAGTTGAGTTATTACAATGCTAGTGATGTTTTTGAATGCTGCATTTTATTTTAACTCATTTAATGTTCTCCAAGCTTCTTATGGTTCTTGTCTTTTCGGATTTTTTTCTTGCCTTACTTTTTTTTTTACTTCATACTCTTTCTTTTTTTTTGCCTTTTCCTTTATTTTGTTTTCTCTCTAGCTGTTCCTATAGTTAAAACAGCTTCCTAAGAATGAATACCAGCCCCGTGTATTTTGTACAGAAATCCTGGGGAGATGAAAGGGAATGGATGGTTTATTTGTTTTATGAAGTATTTCAGCTATGATGAATTGTGGCTTCTCTGTGTTCTGTTTACAGCTGTACTTGTACTCTTGAGGACGTTTGAATTAAGAACAATTCATCTGTTTTACCAGCATGTCATAGCATGACTCTAAAAACTTATAGCTTAATGTTTTTAATAGGAATCCCAGTCTCAAATATTGAAGCGTAGCTTCTTTTGCCCATCAAATAAAATATAAAAATGATCCAGATGTGCAAAGCTTGCTTTTATTTATGCTATTATTTTGCTTCTCACAGTTTGAAGTTCATGTTTCTGAGGTCTCTTTGTAATGTGATGCCTTTGTTTTTTTTATTTCCAATAGTTGAAAGAGATAGATGCCAAAAAGATTATCCGAGCAATGTTGTCTTATGTGTGGCCCAAAGACAGACCGGACCTGCGAGCCAGGGTAGCCGTATCTCTGGGGTTTTTAGCAGGTGCAAAGGTAAGAGCAGATATGTCATTGTACTGTGATAATTATTGTTCAGCTGGAGTTCTTGCAAGGAGTAACTTTTATTTATCAGGCTCTTACAGTGTTATGGCTGCTTCCTATATGAGAAGCATATAGTATTAGAAATGCAGTTTGCATTTTTTAAGCAGTGTGTTTATGTCTGTGATATGCGTATCTGTGATTGGGGGATGATGACGATCAAATGTGTTATTTGCGTTGCTCACATTAGTTTAGTCCAGGATTTTTCCATTGTAGTTAATCAACTACATTATTAAGGAAGATTTAAAAGTTCTGTGAAAGGGATAAATACGAATTAAAGGTTGCTTACAGATCTCTTCCACTTGTGCGGTGCTGTATTTGTCTAACAGGATTTCTCCAAGGCTCTGTGCCTGTTTTTAGCTGTGCAGTTAAGCAGTATGGTCGTGTCTGCTCACAACTCTTGCCATGCTGCTGAAAGGGGATTTCAGCTCTCTGCGAGATGGCAGTGGATTTTCTAGTGGTTCAGGGACTCCTCTGGTGTCATAATGCGAAAGAAGCTACATCATTTATCATTCTTTGTAATGAACCATACTTATGTTCAACTAATTTTTCTTTTACGTGTAGTCTTTTTATTGTGAAACAGAGGATCGCTCTTACCTTTACTTCAGTGTGTGAAAGAGTCTCTTATGCCTTGGCCTGCAACAAATTTGGTGGTTACTAGTTCTTGGAAGGATATAGGCACGCAAAAGCTTTCCACAGGTTAATGGAGAATATAATGCAAATTTTGTGAAACACTGTTGAAATAGTTCAATGCTAACTTTGCGCACAAAATCTTTTGCTATAGAAAACAAATAGAAATCTTTGATTGCAAAATGCTGGGAGCGAAGTTTGTTACTATCCTTGAGATAGATAGCTGGACTGGCTTCCTTCTTGATATGGCAGTTCTTACCATACGTAAGGCTAATATTAGGCTCTTGCTGGGATAAGCTAAAGTGGGTCCTCCATAGCAATGTGTTTTAACACTTTAGGCTAGTGGCAGTATATTTCCTTATCAGCATGCAGCAACATTGCCACATTATGAGAGGAGAGGGAAGAAACAAACTTAAGCTATGTGGATGATAAAAGAAGAGTACATGGAAGAGAACTGTGTTCATTTATTTGAGCTGAAGAGGAAAGGCCAATCTTTTGGTCGACAGCGCTTTTGCCTACAAGCAATCTGTCAGATGCTAGCTGGTACTGTCTCCAGTAGATAGCTCTTTTTTTCTGCCGCTGTTCAAGAAGTTGCTGATAACGCAGCTGGCAACATGCACAGTATGGCATATACGTACAAGTAAACTTTTTAAATATACCATTTTTGTATGCCTGTGCAAGATGTGAAACAATGTTTTTGAATTACACTTAAACTATCTAGGAAACTATCTGCTCAAAATGCAGATGCTAGGAGCATTTTGCCTTATATACCACGCAGTTACCCTCACAATGATATTTAACTTACTACATGCTCCGTTCTTTAGGGTTTTGTCATCTGCTTTTAAGAATTCCCCACTTAACCAAATGGATATGAAGACTCCCCTGATGTCTAGCTGAATTTCTTTTTAAAGCCTTTTAATAGTATGGCAGATAATAATCTGAAGGCACTTTTGAAAGAAGTCTGAAGTATTCTTTTCTTTCTCTTTTCTCTCCTTCCCCCTGCTCTCCCAGTTTGTGTATGAATATGATGATGAATGTGAATCCAGAGACTTGATCCTGCATGTGGTAGCATAGTACTTTGCTTTTAGGAAATGTAATAGTGTTCCAGGCAGCTTTCTGGCATGCATAGAAAGCGAAATCGATGGCCAGGATGCCTGACTTGTGCAAATAGCTCTGTATTAGGGACTGCTTTTATTAAGCATCCACCTGTATATGGTTTTGCAAATACATAGTGTCACCTAAGATACCTAAAAAATCTGGTTTGCTCGGGGCGTGTTTCTGCCCTTCTTTGGTTTCATGAACATTGGGGTTTTGCACAGTTTAGGACAGCAAAGCGGTGATGCTCAAACTCTTTTCACCAGAGTAAATAACTTCTGCTGTAGCATCAGTGATACTTTTTATTCTCGGTCACAGAAGTCCCCTGGTAGGTACTTAGTACCTGATAGGTAGCCAATTAAGGCTTTCTGTTTCTTCAGACTTGTAAATAATTGCTTGGTGCAGTTTCTTATAGTGGTGCTTCATCACTGCGGTCATCATTCCTCAGTGATTTTTAGCTCGTTGGTTCCTAGTTTGGCATGTCATGTCAGGGTTGAACTACTGCTGATCAAAATGCAAACTGTACATTTGATATAAAACTGAAATTTTCTGTTGAGAGAGACGCTTTCCTCACACACACACACACACCCCCCCGCCAGAAAATCGGGCATTTAATTGCACTTTCTCTGGGGAAGTAACTGCACGCTTGGGACTCTCGCTGGTGTTCTCTCAAATTTCCTACTTCCCGTTCTGTACGAGGCAAGCTGGGTGCCCTAATGTCCATCCAGAGCAGCTTCCAGGAAGGAGAGCAGGAAACCTGCTGAGCTTTGCCCAGGCTTTAGGAGCTGTTTGTTAAAACAGAAGTGTTTTGTGAAAATGTTTGTTTTGGCAAACAAGAATTTCATTGGGAAGACATGCAGCTAGCTCGCTACTGTTTATATATTGTTACTGGCTGGGGCAAAAGGTTTTGTGGATGTCTTCTAGCTGTCCTTTGCTAATGTTCTTTGTCTTGTTTGGTTTCTCTCATTACAAAGCTGTGTTAAAACTCAAATATTATTGAGTAACTGCTATTTAACAAGTTGCCACTCGGCAGCTGAGCTGTGCCCGCTCTGCCTTTGGGGAGTAAAAGTTCTTAACTTGCTTCCTGCTTTACATGTGCTAAGTATACATGTAGTTATTGTGGCGTAAGTGACATACGGTAGTTTGTTATAGAGCTATAGTAAGTCCATCATATCTCTGAGCTCTGATCATCTGTTTTTTCTTTCGAGTGAGCTAAAGGTCATTATCCTATAGAAAATTAAACACAATTGTTTACCTGTAACTTGCCTGGACCATGTATAATCCTGTGCAGTTTCCTCATTTTCTCATTTGGGAGCCCTTCGTCCTGGCTCCCCGTGAGGTTAATTACGACGTACTTGCCAGACCATATAACCAGTTTTTAAAGTTGATTGCTATGCAGTTGTGTCGGCACAAAAATGCTAACATCTCTTTCCTCGCATTGCAATCCTGTCCTGATTTGCTTTGTTCATTATGTACTTGTCTGCATCCGAGAGACTTACATCCTTAGTCTGGAATTTTATAATGGCTGCTTGTTTTTAGGGGTCTTGCACAGAGACCTGTACGACCATAATGCCTGCTGCTAGTCACTCTTCCCCTTAAAAAAAAATACTTTTTTAAGCCTTTTGGCCAATTTCATCTGAATTTGACAGAAGAGTTTGGTGCAGTTTTATACCTCTATATTTATAAAGTTAGGCTTCCAGTTAGAAGAAAAAGATCCAAACTGTGACTGAGAGAGGAGGGAGAGCCTGGAGGGTGAGTTCAGTTTTATTTAAGAAAACTCAAGCGAATCCACAGAGAAGAGGAGAGGTAGGCTCTGAAATCCCCAGCCACAGGCAGAAACTTTGAGTTTGCACCCTATTTGACATGGGTTTAGTTACCCACAAAACACAAAGCAGTTGGAGACTGTACCTCTAGTTCTGCTGCTTGTGGAATAATTTCTTTCTCCTCTTTCAGTCTTCCAGCTGAGTAAAATTCAATTTTGAAACAAAAGCCGGTTTGTGTTTTATAGTTGCTGAAGAGCCTCCAGTTATAATCTGTCTTGACTCCTCTTGTGGGGGCCCCGTTGCCTGTCATTGAACAAATTATTGTGATTTTTGATTCCTTTCTGTCTACACATAACTACTAGAAATATTGCTAGCCTTCAAAGTGAACTGTTTGTATAGCTCTTTATGACTAGGAGCTGACAGGAGGGAGTCTGCTCCTGGGCTAGTAAGGTCTCCTCTTCTTGAAAGATTTATTGTATTATGACATGCTTTAAATTTTTATCTTAAATATTTATAGCCTATCTAGACTTGCACGATCTGAAAGATGCAACAAGAAAACAGGTGAGAGGAGCACACAAGACATTATCTGTGTTTTCAGACACAGATTAACCTGCCCAGGTTTTAGATATCTGTCTTTTCCTCTTGCACATTCCCCCTCGCATTTTTTTTGTCGTCTTTACTGGGATATATATTGTGAACAGTTATTTTTCTGCTTCTTCCCTCTTTCTTATGTGACATAAGAAGAGAAAGGGCTCTGGCTCCTTCAGAGCTGGACTAGACACATGAATATTACAAAATATTCTTGTCACCTCTGTCAGTCTGTAAAGTTTCTTGGCTTTTTGGTCATGGACCAAATATGTGTTATTCATGAGCCAGAGAAATCTTGCAGACTGTCTGCGTTTCTGCTCATGGTTAATTCTGTAAGCTTCAGAAGAAACCGTTTGGCTAAAAAGGCAAGACGCAAGTGTTGCATCGTAAATTTTACCTACGTGCAAAGATGACAATATCTATCTAATCAGATAGATGTGTACGTATGATCTTTGTGTTGGAGCCCTTTGTCTAATTCCATGTAATTAGAAGATTTCATTAAACCTTTAGAAACCCTGTTAGCTGTTGGGGAGGTTTCAGGTGAAAGGTGTTTCTACATATAGGGGTTTTTTGTGCATCCCTTATTGGAAAAAATTATATTTCAGATTATCTGTGATTTCAAAGAAGTCATGAAACTAGAGGCTTTTCCCTTCTTTTGGGCGGTGTTTTGTAGCTTGGCCTCTGTAAGGGATGGAGTTTTCTGTTTGTGCTCCCACAAATGGAGTTGTTGCACAGTGTCTGTGGGGGCATGCTTTTATACTGGCCCAGAGATAAATTCGGTCATCTTCATGTTAATGTTTCTCATTGAATTATTGGCTAAAGAAGAGTTCACTGTAGACCAGTTTTATCATGCTGGGTGCTCAGCCTATCACCAATTCATCATCTTTATTAAACATGAAATACTGGGAAGTGCAAGATGAACGAACTCAGTTTGCCCTAACAGTGGTGCAGTCCCACATGGGAATGGAGATGATGCATTGTCAGCTTAAAATAGTGCAATTATTTAAAAAAAAAAAGTGTTTAAACCCGTTTAAGCGTGATGTATAATATGCTGTTGAATGGGCACAGTTGAGCTGGGATGACTTCATGGGTATTTGCTTTTACTTGCCAATGAATTCAGGTAAGGATTAGTGATTAATTCAAAATTACAAACAAAATGTATACATTTATATTAAAAGGGCCTTTTTAAAGGAAATGTTCTCAAGCTTTCAGGCACTGAGAAGAGGAGGGAAACCTATGCAGATATACTGCATAAGACAGTTAAGACGTTTTGCATGGTTGCTTTTTATAGAGTACCTACGTGTGCTTAAAGCTTTGCATTCTGTGCTGGCAAATCTAGGCCGCTAAAGAGATAGCTGTGAGTTTGTGTAGAAGGCTGAAATTTTGTCGCCGTTAATATGAACATGGTCTCATTGACTTAACAAATTGGGTAGCAAAGGACTGCTTCTAATAATGGGCTCTCATCTCTCTTGCTATAAACTTTGTAAGATTAACTTTTTTAATGACTGGAAAGCAGACTGTGTTGATTACTAATGAAATGCAACACCATGCTGCCTTGTTCTTGTTCAAGCTTCACCCTCCGGGAGTCAGAACGACTATAACCTGAGACCAGGCTTTAAATTTCATTTAAAACTCTATTGGGTAGAATTATATGGATGTGAAAGGAGACATTTCGGCAAAATTGTAGGCTGTTGCCAGTTAAATTAATTGCGAGTGGAGAACTGCAGTTTAAAGAATACATCTCTTTTCTTTAAATGGACTTTAAAATATATCTGTAGTTCTATTTCTAAACTACCTGTAATGTAGCCGAGTCTACTGAAGAGTAAAATCCCTGCAGAGGGATTTGTGAGAATGTCTTGATTTGCTGCACAATCTGCATTACAATACTCTTTATTTTCCACTGAGTGGGCTCTCGCAGGAAAACCCGCACTTTGTCACGTTGGTCATCGCTCTAACACAGGTGGTAGCATATTCTTCTTTATTAAGAACAAAACGCTACCAAAAATTGAGTTTCAGTAACTCTGAAGGGAATAGCAGGCTTTTTTTTATTATTATTATTATATTGGGGGAAGGGGGCGATTTAGATCCCAGTATTGTAGAGATTCGGGATCCCTGTTAATGCATCTTTCGTTCTTTGTGGGGCTTTATGCTTAAAGTTTGAGCTTGTAATGACAGTAGCCTGTTCTTCTTCTGTGTCTAATTAAGTTATCAGTCGTTATCGTACGCTGCTGCTTTGAGGGTATTTGTTGGCTTTCTGCAGATAAAGCTAACTTTGGGTCTGGGTTTTTTTTTTGTGTGAAGATTTCCACAATTTGGCCTGTTGCAGGGCACGAAAGTCGCTGAATGACGCTCAGCCTTGCATCGGATACATTTTCCGATGGAAAATGTAGGACCTGCTCTTTCAGCTGGTCTCTTTTTTCGGCCCCAAGCGAACTGATGATAATCTCACCTAGTTGCTCTCAAACCTCACGAGCCGCCTAGGTTACGTGGTACGGAGGCGTTGGTTGTGCGCTGTCTCTCTCGCTAGTGTCTTTTGCAGGGTGAAAGGCAGCAGGAAGGAGGCGAAGGAGGATTCCTTCCTCCTTTGCATTAAAACTTTTGCGTGAAGTTTAAACAGTTCTTTAAAAAAAACCTTCCCCCCCCCCCCCCCCCCAAGAAATCAATTAATAAGGTTTTCTTTAATCCCATAGTTTAAAAATTCAGTATTTCCAAAAAGCCAGTCTTTCCCCAGTGGTGAAGTAGCTGTCTTCCGTTCATGACTGTAACTTTTAATACGGAGAATGTTTGATACTGGGATAGTTGTTATAACTACTCAAAGCCTGTCTTCCAACTTCAGTTTGTACTGAAGTGATAAGACGTTACGGCTGTTTTCGCTTAAAACTCAGTTTATTCTTTACCCAGTTAATTTACACTGTTTTTTTTTTGTTTGTTTTTAATGGGGCTTTCATCTGCCTGGTGTCCCGAAATGCAATTGAAATACAAGACCCAGAACAGCTGGGAGAGAGCTGAAGTATCTTTGTCAACCTGCTTTGTGTTTTGTTTCCTTATTATGTAAAATAACTTGTTGTCCACCCGCAAATATTTTCACAATACAAAAAAAATTAAGCAAAGGCAGTTCACTGTAAAGTGTCTTAACATCTGCCGTGTTTATTAGGAAAGTCTTAAAAGAGATGTTCAGCTGCTGAGAAGCTTGCATACCTTATTTTGAAATCTTCATGGTCAGTGTAGTTTTTTTTAACTGTTGGTATAAATAAGTGGTGTAATAATGGAACATTAACAAGATTTTGGATTTTTGTTTGTTTTAAAGATTTTCAATTTTTTTATGCTATAGCTAGTAATAAATGCAAATGAAAAAATCCTAAAACTGATTTATTTACGTAGCGAGCTTTCCTCCTTTCAGCATGGAGAGGAAACGCCACTGTTTGAGGAGGTGTATTTGGGTTTTGGTGCTGTCTGTTCTTACAAAAATATGTAGTGACATGTCATATGTTTAGGTTGTGGGTATGATTTTGATAATTTATTTGAAAACTCGCATTGTTAAAGGAATTCAAAGCGTCTTGTAGACTTTATGGTAAGCCATTTTTGCCACTCTAACAAATGTTAAGGTTAATGCAGATAAAAAGATAATGTCCATAGTGACATTGCAAATGGAAAGTGTTATTTAAATATTGAGGTAATATTGACTGTCAGGAGAGACAAAAGTAAATTAACTTTGGCTTCAGTAGAGCTTTGATTTCATATATGTCGACTGACCCCCGGTTATCAATGCGGGCGTTGTTGTTGTTGTTGTAGTAGTAGTAGTGGTAGTTGTTGCTCATACTGAACATTGCCCAGGTAGTAAAGAGCAAGCAACCTGTAATGACAGCATAACTTCGTACCTTTGTAAATATGTGCTGTGCGGTGTCTGATACTTGATGCGTTTCCCAACCTTGCCATTGCTTTAATGAGTGCTCGGACTTGGTTCAGGTGCTTTTACAGTGCACAGATAAGGTAGGATAGAAGCTGATATTTAAAAGGAGCCAGTGGGACACACACACTAACCCTGCAACCCCGAGAGCAGAGACTCCTTAGTATGGAAAATGCTCTCTTTGAAATCGAGAGAGCCACCCCACCAGCTCTAAGTGGTGAAGAACTAAATATAGGAGTACAGCTATTTCAGGAAAATATATTCACGCTACATAGATAAACGATTTAATGCATCCTGACTAATTGGTGTTCTTATGCTTTTAGGCCATGAATATATTGGTTCCCTTCATGTTTAAATATGCGGTAGACAGCCTCAACCAGATGTCCGGAAACATGCTGAACCTGAGTGATGCGCCAAATACAGTCGCAACTGTGGCAACTGCGGTCCTCATTGGCTGTAAGTGGGATTCCCGAATCTGTTGGCGGGGGTTAACCTTCTCCAGTTAGGTAGTGGGACAGCAGAGCTTCGGACCTCTGCGCTGCGGAGCCTTGGGACAGCTATTCTGTAACTGCCTCTCTGTTGACATCTCTGTCCAGTGTTCTGTGACCTTGGCTCTAGTATTCCAGTTATAAAATGAAATAACGCTTATAGAAATGACTCTTGGTTATAAATTCTACCCTTTACGCCAAGCAGCTGCAAATGAAACTGATTTAATATGTATGTGCAAGGGTTTATAAATGAAAGTGTGTAAAATTTTGGATAATTGAAATTACCTTTGAAGGAAAAATGTTGAAAATATATGAAAAATGAGTCTAATGCGGTAATTTCACGCAAGAAGGCAAGTTGGAAAAAATAATTTTTTTCAATTGTTGTAATCTTTTTCAGATGGCATCTCAAGAGCTGGGGCAGCGTTATTTAATGAAGCTAGAAATGCAGTATTCGGCAAAGTAGCTCAAAATTCAATCAGAAGGATAGCAAAGAATGTATTTCTGCATCTTCATAACCTGGACTTGGCGTTCCACCTAAGCAGGCAGACAGGAGCCCTGTCAAAAACCATTGACAGAGGAACGAGAGGAATCAGTTTTGTTCTTAGCGCTTTAGTATTTAATCTGGGACCTACCATGTTTGAAGTGGCTCTAGTCAGTGGAATTCTGGTAAGTGATGGGTTTTTTTTAATGAGTTGGAATGGTCTCTTTTGGGAATAATAAACTGAATTTCTTTTACCAAGGTCTGCTAAGTATTAAGAGAAGCAATCGTTGAATTTACTAGTTGGTGGTTACTGTCTTTGAAAACAGGATATTTGGATGTTTATATGCTAAAATTTAAATCTTGGTTATGTAGCTTCAACTAAGTGAAAAGTAAGAATCTCGTTTTGTTTATTCCCCTTCTTTTTTTTGACGGTCTTAACTTATATTGTTATGTTCACATGTGATTGAAACCCCTTTTGGTATTTGGTTAAATTTTGTAACCTCTGGAAGTTGCCAATCAAGCTGGCTAATGGCAACCATGCCATGATGCCTTAATTTTTCTTAGGGCGTTTCTATCCTGATGTACCCTGAAGTAGAGAAAACCCTTCCTAAATTGTTTTGCGAGGCTGTTTGTTTATTTGTCCACAGGCTACACCTTTCTTCTAAAATCTCCCCACAGTCCTGTAAACAAATATTTGTTTTTGATAACAGCAAATTTTTGAAAGACCCCTTTTCACTAATGTGTTATACACTAGCTCTTGCTTATCTCCTCCTATCTCTCTTATCTATATTTTCCCTTTGCCAGTCTCATCATTACTTTTCTTGTAAACTTAAGCTGATGTTTAAACTGTTAAGAGCAAGGGATGTGTTGGGAGGGATCTTGAGTTTGTCTCTTCAGGCTGTGATATCATAGTTTTGAGACGACAGTAAAGTTTGAGCATTCTTTATTTTATTTTAATCTTCTAGTATTACAAATGTGGTGCAGAGTTTGCGTTAGTAACCCTGGGGACACTAGGAGCGTATGCAGCGTTCACGATAGGAATTACGCAGTGGAGGTAAGGCATCCCCTCAGATGCATGGGGGTACGTAAGGTGTTGCCTTGGCAATAACTATGTAATGCTTGACTGCATTAAACTTTCCTCTTACAGGACTAAGTTTCGAATTGAAATGAACAAAGCAGATAATGATGCAGGTAATGCTGCAATTGACTCGCTGCTAAATTATGAGACTGTGAAGGTAAGACCGATCTGTACTGCTAGGCTCTTTGTCTTACTTCTCCCAGCCTTGTCTTGCATCTCCCAGCCTCAGCAAAGTGAGTCTAAAGATTCATCTTTTGTGTGGCTACATGTTTGAAACAATAGCATGGTTTTGAAAACATTATTCGTTTGAAGAGTATAAACACAGTAGCGTGCAAATCATTTGGGCTTGAAAAATCCTATTTGTTGGTAAAGAGTGAGAAGCTTCCTTCCTGATTGAATTGCCTTGACCTTTAGTTTCTGCAGAATGCAAACTTTAGAGGCTTGGAGAGAGTTCTGTTCTTTTATTGGCAAAAACTATCTTCTGAATGTAAGCCTGCAAAGTATTGTGTTCTCCTGTGAGCACGTGTACTGTGCTCATCGCCTGTTGCCATTGCAGCACACAGGTGTCTACGAGTCCTTTTACAGCTGCTATTAAAAATTCCTGTGGACAGCTTTGAATTTGTCTAGAATCATGCTGATTTTGTTTCTGTTAATTGGAGAGCTATAATTGGAAAGATGAGCAGTGGAGTTATCTGTAACGTAAGACCCAAAAGTAAAGATTATGTGAGATGTAGAGACTTTGTCATCCTCAAAGCCACAAGGATGTTCTGGTAGATAGAGGGCTGTAACTTTTTCTTCTTTTTAGTATGCAGTGGCGGCTGGTGGGCTTTTTTTGGGGGGGGTGGGGTGGGGTGGACATTAATTAGATAGAAGTTTTACAAGAGAGAGACAGAGTATGTTGTTACGATATGAGCATGTTAGGGATCTCTGTGATGTCGTCTTTCCCAGTGCAGAAAGTGCTGGCTTGGCTCATTGGTGGAGTGACCTTGGCTCTTAAAGGTTTTATCTTCGTATCCTGGTCTTTTATCATCTTTTCTCTTTAGCTGTTAGAAGCGTTGAAGGCATTTGTGGGTATCTGTGCATATAGGGCGCTATGCTAAATTTTATAGCGAGTTAAATACAGTGTTGTAAATTGAGAATGCGTCATGTATTACTTTTTTGTATATCACAGTATTTCAACAATGAAAAATACGAAGCCCAACGATATGATGGATTCTTGAAGACCTATGAAAACGCCTCCCTGAAGACTACCTCTACTTTAGCTCTGCTGAATTTTGGACAAAGTGCTATATTTAGCATTGGCTTAACAGCCATCATGGTGCTTGCTAGCCAGGGCATTGTTGCAGGTAACTGATCTGTCTATAAGCTAAAACAGATTCTCCTTTACCTTAGTTCATCCATAATAGAGGTGTTGTAGGTTTTCTTTGTTTGTTTTTAATTCACTTATGGTTGATATGCTAGTTCATTTTGAGAGTTTTTGCTTGAGAGCCCTTCTTTAAGGGTATTTCTGCATCTTGCAGCGTTTTGTTCTGTGATATAATCAGTAGTAACTATTTTGATTTTTATTAGAAGGACTTTAAAAGTTTGGTAGTGAGAGCCTAAGAAAATGTAACTTAGGCAGGCGGAATGAATGAAGGATTATGAAAGCAATGTTTACACTGAGGAATAAAAATATGTGGGGGAAGAGTTTAAGGTCCTTTCTTTTCTCCCTTCTTTCCCATGTTGGCAAGAATCAGGACTTTTCCCCACTGTGTGTATATATATACCTGTACTTTGTCTCTCACAGCTTTGTTACCAGTGTCCTTCATTTCCTTTGGACTAATAAAAAGACTTTAATAAAGAACTGTCCCCATATGTGAGGGGTTTCCCCGTCTCCCCATACTTGTCTTATATACTGTATGAAGCAAAGCCTGCTTGTTTAGAAAGACAAGGTGAATGCAGTATCGGGATGAGGCTCCGCTAAAGGGAGGCAGTTCAGAGTAACAGCAATGATATTTAAGCAGTCGGTTAGCATCCGCATAGGTTTGAAGGGTACATCTTTTTATCGTGTTATCTCTGTGGTGTCTGTATGTGCTCTTGTTTTAATGCTAGGACAGGGAAGAGTGAAAGTGTAAGCCAGGTGCAGTTTATGGCTTTTCTTAAGAAAGTTTAGAATGGCCCTTAAGCAGGACACTGGAAATGTGGCTTTAAATCATCTTTCCTGACCTGTTTCAGTTGAACTGGCTTAGCACTTGCCTTTAGCTACTGTGTCGCATCCTGAGTTGTTTCTTGATCAATGTAGTTGATATCAAGCTGCCCAGAGGTTCTCAGAATGCGTATCAGCAGCTCTGTTTGTACGGAGTATTGGAAGCCCTCTCTCTTGCTCGTGACACATCCTAGCATTTGCATTTGTCTGTAGTTGTTCCTAAGATTCCAAATTCTTGTCTTTCCTACTTGCTTGCTTTTGTATATTATTTCCTCCCTTTCCCCATGCTTCCGACTTACTTAGGACCCTTTATGTTTATCGCTCAGTGGAGTTTGCAACTTTGCAATATGGGATTTTCTGTGAATTTCCTAATGCGCTGCTTGTGCTATTTTGTATTTGTTGATGAAATCTGTACAAACCTTACTATTCCTTTCAGGTACCTTCCTAGCTAAAATCTGATCCTCTAGGACTGTATTTTGTTTACTGTTTAAACATTTGGTTTTAGAAATGGGAAAACAGAAACTAAACTTAATTTTTCAAAATATTTTTGTGCTCCCTAACAAGACTACCCTTCAGGTCTCCTTATTCTTCCCCATTTGTTTTGTCTTCAGGGAGCCTGTCTGTTGGAGATCTAGTAATGGTCAATGGATTGCTGTTCCAGCTTTCTCTACCCCTCAACTTCTTGGGAACAGTATACAGAGAGACGAGACAAGCACTTATAGATATGAATACCTTGTTTACCCTTCTCAGTGTAGATACCAGAATTAAAGTAAGTAGTAGCTTATTTTCCTTAAAGTATCTGGGTAGCTAGTAGGGCTGTTCTGTAGCAATGCTATGGTTTCACCCTGTTTGTTACTGTCCAGGTTTAACCCCTGCTCAAGGAGGGATACTGTGCAAGGATGCTGTTCTGCATCCTCTTTAGGTGCAGTTAGTGCAATAGCTGCTACTGTTCTCTTGCAGAACCCTTTAGTGAGAGCAAAAGTTGCTTCACAGAAGCTGTGCTTGTACTGAGGTTTTTACTTAAGCATTCATGCCTTGTGCTTAAATTTTAATTTATAATTAATGATGCAGAATTTATTACTGCAGAAGTTGTGAAGCGGAATGTTTACAGCAGAAATTTTTTGCTTTCTTTGGGGAAAATGATGAATAAACCAAAAAAACCTGTGTGGCTGATCATAATTATTTTCAACATATCCGAGCTAGAGTGTCTGTTTGCCTTTTTCTGAGTTAGGAAATGGACTGTTTAGCTTGTTGAACTGCTTGAAATACTTTCTGGGCAGCATATAAAGTGGCACTCTTCTTTTAATAGGACAAAGACCTGGCTCCACCCCTGCAGATCACACCACAGACTGCTGCCATCGCCTTTGATAATGTGCATTTTGAATACCTTGAGGGGCAGAAAGTCCTTGCTGGAGTATCTTTTGAAGTCCCTGCGGGAAAGAAAGTGGCCATTGTAGGAGGTAGTGGGTCAGGGTGGGTAAATGGACCTCATGCAAAATTCTGCATCATTGATTGGCATTTTTTTAAATGAGTTTGTTCTTGTGTTTTGCTTTTTATTACTTTTGTCTGTGACATCGATGTTTTGACTGGAGTTTTGCCAATGATAAACTAAGAATTGAACGTTGACTTTGATTCTTTCTCCGTTTCAGGAAAAGCACAATTGTGAGATTATTATTTCGTTTCTATGAACCTCAGAAAGGAAATATTTATATTGCTGGACAGAACATACAAGATGTCAGTTTGGAAAGTCTGAGAAAGGCAATAGGAGTTGTACCCCAGGTATAATATGTTTCACTCTCCCCGAATAGCCCCTTGTAATGGTAATTCTTGATATCCTGATGCTGTCAATAAAACAATAAAAGCCAATCGTAATGCAGGGGTATTGTCTAGTTCCTTTGAAAGTCACTGTACTTAATTTCCTCAGGAAATATTACCGCGGTTTTATGTGCATCATATAGATCCAATTCTTGAAATGTGTTTTTTTTTAAGTTTAAATGTTTTTTTTTTTTTAAGTCCCTTAAAGCTGGACACTGTTTCTCATGATGTAATTTACCTTTATAGTTGATTATCACCTTTATGAGTAAGCAAAACTGTACAAGTAAATGTGAGGTATATTTAGGACACAATAAAATGTCTCATTCCCACTTCTGGGGAAATGAAATTTCCCAAATACTCAACTTTAAGCATTTGTAGAAAAATACAAGCTATTTTATATTGACTTCTTTCAAGGGTCGAGGACAGACTTTTTGAACTAGTGTTCGTAATTTCTTGTTTAAATGTTCTTTCTATAAATGTAGGATGCTGTTCTCTTCCATAATACTATCTATTACAATCTGCTCTATGGCAATATCAGTGCAACACCAGAAGAGGTGTATGCAGTAGCGAAGTTGGCAGGAATCCACGATGCTATTCTTCGAATGCCTAATGGTTACAACACGCAAGTTGGTGAACGAGGACTCAAGCTCTCAGGTAGGTCCTTAAATGCAAATGTTCTTTGCATCCCTTTTGCTAGCTCAAGTTCGATGCATAGTTTGTTCATCAGTTAGACTTGCTTTTAGCTCGTTCACATTATGACATAAATGTAGAGCTAAATATTAATAAACTACAGTTTAAGACAGCTGTAATCTACAAGATATTTAAAGGGATGTATTTTCGGGGATAGTGTTAAATGAGGTGATATGTAAGCGCCTAGATGCATCTGAATAAGTAAAAATGATTTTACAGTAATATATTTGGGCTGTAGAATACATATGAATAGAATTGAGAACTCTGTGTATGTGTGCTCTGCATGTATGGATGGTATAGACTTACATATGCATAGAGCTTCCAAATTCAGATCTTTAAATCTAAGCTTCTAGCAGCTGAAATCTAGTTTTTTGTTTTTGTAGTAAATAATACTATGGGATATGTTGTTGCCGCATACTAATTTTAGTCCCTTTTCATAAAAGTGCTTTCGAGTCTTGTCCCTTTGAACTGTGAAGGGAGGGTTTAGGGGAGAACCACTGTGGCAGCATATCTAAAAGCTGTGGATTTAGATAATGCAGCCGTAATATTGAGATCACGATAGCCTGAGTTTAGGTTCTTGACGTTCCTCTGTATTCGGGTAGGCACCCTATCTAGCGCAGGGCAGTTACGCTACTTTGCAGATAGCGTCATGGCATTAGGCAAACTTCCCCATATTACGTCAGCCTTTTGGCTCCATTTTTACAAAATTACAGTTTACTCCCGCTTCTTCTCTCCAGATGTCTGACTCTACACTCATGGTTCTCATATGACTCCCTCAGTGTATATTAAAATTACACACCCTTTTTTTTTTGTTTTGTTCTTAGGGAAGATGATGCTTGAAAGCAAATACTCTTTTTGTGGCAGAGTTAAGGGACTGATGATGTGAGATGAGAGATCATTTGGGAACTGGGAAATGTCTAAATCATTTGCCTTATTCTTTTTCATTTTTTTAATGTAGGGTTTAGGATTTCAAAAGTACTGAGTTTATCTTTAAGTATAATTTTTAGGTAGTAGCTAGGTTACACTGAAACACTTTCAGTCTTAGATCTCTTGGAGTTGTATTGAAAGAAGGTATTGATGATGTCAGTCATCAATAACACTAAATGTACATTGAATGAAACAATCAACTTTCCTGTTTTGATTGTAGGATATATTATTAGGTAGATAAATATTTTTATTTGTTTTCCTATCCTCTTATAGCATTTAAACTTTTGTTTTTATGGATATACGATGCAAGATAGAATGGGGTAGTCTTTTAATGAGATTTCTCCATTTAATTTGCTGATGGGTTTGGTTTCCGCTCTTGGTGGATATTACGAGGAATACAAGTGGTAGCTGCAAAATGAATTAAAATCCTTTCCTGCTCCCCGTTCTGAGAAAGCGAAACACCCTGGTGTTGCTTAGAATTGCTAGCCCATAGGAAGAGTGATAGGGCACAGCTTTTCACACTAGCTTTATAGCTCTCTTTTTAAAATATAAGCTTAAAATTATTTTAGATAAATGCAAGGTCGTTGCTGAAAGCGTTTGGAAAGATTTTGACAAGGTAGAGAGCGTAACGCTGAATCGCGTGCAGAGAGTGAGAGCGGGCAAACTGCCACACGTGCGCAACGTCACTGCAGCTCTGCAGGAGGAGAGGCCGTAGCGCCGCAGTAGCGCCTAAAGCAGGTACCTTCTAAGTGAGGCCTCCGGAATACAAGGCCTTACTTTCTGGCAGACCGTAAGCTTGCGGCGCAGAGCCGGTAACTCTTCTTCCACCCTGACCCCGTGTGCAACCGCTGGTCGGCAGACTGAAGAACAGGTCAGCAGCTTTCCCTTGCCTGTCTGGGGGGGCCGAGGAGAGCAGGGCGCCCTGCTCCGTTGGGAACGCGCGCCCGTTTGCGCAAGGGCAACGCGGGGCAGGCTGGAAGGGAAATAAAATAATGTGGCACAAACCTGGGTCAGTGAGTAAAAGATACGAAATAGGCCCTGGCAGCACTGTGAAGAAGCACGACCGTGAAGATGGAGGGTGTCTCCTGTGTCTCCCAAAACTAGTAATCTCTAGAGAGATGATTTGACTAACAGCAGGTTTGAAATGGCACCAGCTTTGTCTTGAAGCACGTTGCACGTGCGCTTCTAGAGCCGGGGAGAAGTGGGGTTGTGCGTGTGCGCGTGCGTGCTGGGCTTTCCTTCTGACCAGCGGAGCCTTCCTGAAACCTGGGTGTCCTGTGCTCCGTCCTTCGCGTTGCGCTACCGCAACGATGGCAGTGAACGCTCATCTGCCGCAGTGCGCGTTTGGAGAGCGCAGGGAAATGTGTTAGGTTTTGTTCCCCCCGTGTTTTTTGGTATTAGAACAAAGAGGGCATGTACGTTCCTTACCAGGAGAAAGACGCTGATGTGAGTTCCTGAGGTGGCAAAGAGAGCTCAGCGTGTGCGTGTGACGTTGTAGCAGCAACTTCAGTCTCTTTATTTTCAGCAAATTGGGTGACTATTGGCAAATAATAGCGAGAAACAAGCTGAAGCAACGTTGACAGCCCGGGCACCAGCGTCTTGGGCTAAGGCTCTCAGAAAGGGCTGCTCATCTTGGGCTTCCTCAGACGCCGAACTGATCTTAAACGCGGTTGTGAGCGCTCAGCGCGCGGTTCGAGTCTGCCTTCGTTCGCAGGTGCCAGTTTGAGGCAGTGATTTAGGTTGAAATGTGAAGCTAAAGTGTTCGCTGTCTTCCGTGTGTGAGTGTTAGATTCGCACTTTCATGGAGAGTTATAACGGCCAGAAGTCGACTGTCACTGTTTTTGTTGTGTAATGCGTTAGATATGTGAAATGCCTACCTTCGAGTTTCCTCAATAGCTCTGTAAAAATATGGCATCTGTCACCTTGAACCACCTCGTTTTTCTGGAGCGTAGAATGGCTCCCTGAATTGTTGCAAAGGTATACGTTAGCTTCATTCCCCAGTCCGTTTAGTAGTTAGCTTCTTGAATTGGGTGCGACTTCTCGCACTCTTAGTCTAAGCGATATGCAAATTCTGGGCTTGCTCTGACCTTTTTTTTGGTGGAGAAATAGAAGGGGTGAAAGGTGTGTGCATTTAAGTGATCCTCTTGGAAATCCAGGTATTTGATATTCATGATGGGTGAAAAAATGAGGTTTTGCAGACCACTGACATGGTAGCTGTCTCGGTGAAAGGCAGTGACGGTATGGAGAATTATCTTGGGTCCTGGATGCGTAAACACTGGCGCGAGGTAGTAACGTGTGGGGCCAGTAATTGCCGCAATCTTAATTTAGAGCCGTTGTTCTACGGATATTCACCTTTGTTGAGAGGAGCAAGTGGACGCCTAAACAATGTGTTAATTGGATCCTCCCCGTATGCAGAATTTGCACCTCTGCTACATTAAAGATTCCTTTCTTCCAGGAAAGGAAAAGTTTACGTATTTTTTGGAACTGAGCATTATAAAATTGAATTTTAAGCGCTGTATGATACTTTAAAACTTATTTTTTTGGACTAGCAAGAATCCTAATACAAACAAAACTCCCTAACGACAGTGCGCGAGGGTGATTAAGAAGCCAGCATGCCTCTCCCTTAGTGTGGTTTTCCTTGCTGGTATAGTACCAAAAATAACAGGCCTAAGGAAGTCTTTATTGCATTAAGAACTTTATCATTTTAAATGATGAAACCAAATAAGCATTTAGTGCAGTTCTTAGTGGTCTCAGTGATTGATTCCTGAAGAGTAAATAATTAAAAGTTTGAGTTTTTTCAAGTAGCGTGCGTTTTGGTGCTTTTTAGTAGATGTCTCATGGCCAAAGCCGTAGCAATCGGAAGCTGTGACCTTGTGAGCAAAACCATTAAAATGCTGCTGCCCTGCATGTGGATGGGAAGAACATGAAACGAGTCTATGTGCTGCAAATGTAAGAAAAGGCCTTGGATTTTTGGCATCAGCGCGTGTCTTTCAAACAAGGATGTTGCCAAGCTGTCAGTTTTGAATGCCCTTTAAAGAAGGGGAGAGATGGGGAGTGTATTAAAATAGAGTGAGTGAATCGTACAATTCTACTTACTGTTGAGTTCCACCAAAGAGAGTTTAAGTCTTGAACTGCACCAAGATTATCAGCCTTTTAAATGGTTTATTAAAGCATATTCTCTCCTGATAGGAGAGCAACGTGAATAAGACTATAATGGTGTTAAACAGAATCTTGCAAAGTCTTGAATAAAACATAGGAGGGCGAGCGCACAAATGTGAAACGTTTGCATTGCATACCAAACGTTTAGCAGATCTGAAGTCCTCAGATTGCACCTGTTTTCCTGCCTATAAAACTTACCGTAAGTTATTCTTGGGGAGATCAGTTGTCTGTAACAATTGTGAAGGAAGGAAACTATTCTGAAACCACTTACAGTAAAGAACAGCAGGCAGTATGCTGCGTAATGAAGATGGTTTTCAGTGCCATATTAATTAATTGTGTTTCTTAGTGAAATTCACGGGTTAAAGCTGTTAGTTTTGGACACTTTTCGTTCAGGTTATAGAGCAGAGGAAAGTTAGAGGAAAGTCAAGGAGCGGCTGGAAAGAAGAAGTGTATGTGCCAGGTGCGTGACATAAAAGAGAATCCAGCAGTCGCGTAGCATCGTTTGCTTGCGAGAGAACAGGACGCTCTTACTGCGGCGGACCCAGCTGAGAGCAGAGCAGGCGGAGGAGCACGGGCCTCCCTGGCCTGCGGAAGGAGTTACCGTACGCTGTCGCTGTTGGTTACCTGTACAAGGCTCTTGCCTTGTAGCGCATATGAAATAGTTCACCCTCTTTCTCTAAACAGATACGCAATCTTCAATCACTTTATTTACCTGGAGCAGGAACCTGCACGGTACCTTGTGTAACCTATATGCAGACTTGTATCAGTAGTAACTGTGGTGTATATTGAAAAGACTTAAAGAACAAACAAATACGCACCTCTGCTGTTGAATTTGGAATATGCTGCAGGTCATGATTGTAACTTCATATATTTTTTTTTCATCCCCTTTCCCCTCCCCTCCCCTTATTCAGGAGGAGAAAAGCAAAGAGTTGCAATTGCTAGAGCGATGCTAAAGGAGCCACTTATTTTTCTCTATGATGAAGCCACATCATCTTTAGATTCAATTACGGAAGAGGTAAATTGGCAGAAGGAAATATAAAACTTAAGTGGTGTAACGATGTCTGATCCTGATGCTTTTTCCTTGTTCTTTCCTTCTCAGAAAGAATCCTGTTCTTCTTGCCTGATTGCCATCATGTGTTTTCTTTTCTTAAGAGACCCTATGGTTAATCCCTTTTCCTAAAGGCCAGAGCAAGAGGTCCTGAGCCTCAGTCCACCTTGAGGCAGAGGGGAGAATATCAGTTCTACCTCTGGCTGCCACTTCTGTTTTACACTCTTTGAGGTCCCGTTCACCTTAAACATTCATCTCTTGAAACTGTTGCAAATATTTGGCTGTGATGTATGAAGCTTTGCAGTCCGCTTTAAAAGGCATTCATCTAGCATTCATTTAAAAATAAGTCTTATAATCAATTTTGATATAACGGGAAACAGAAAACCCCTTGTTCGTTGTGCAGCATCTTTCTGAGATGCAAATCAGGTAGGCGTAACCTGCGGTGCTGGCGTTAATTTGTATTCCCTTCACAGGAAGGGCTGTGAAACCTCAGAGTGTTGTGACATAGATGTCATGACACTACCGCAGCAACTGCATCAGGCTTCAGAACTGCGTCTTTACTTAAACACAAAACTCTCAGCACCAGCGGTAATTTCACAGACCAATGTCATCGAAAACCGGTGCTCTGTGGATGTTTGTCTTCACTTATGCAGATTATTGAGCAAATCTACTGACCTGTAATCGCTAAATTACTTTCATTTTCCGGATACGAAGCAGCTAAGGTACATACTGTACATCTATATAGTACAGCAATGAAATAACGATACCCAGCTCCCGACTGCGCTCCCTCATAGGACTGGAAACGTTCTTAACGCAGTTCTACAGAATGATACTTCTTCATTCTTGCACTTTGCTTTATTTGTTGCAAGAGTCATAGGCAAAGCTGAAAGTTTCACAGCAGAGCTGCATTTTAAAAACAGCAAATAAAAAGGAGTCCTTCCCACAAAAGTAAGTCAGGTAATCAGAATGCTTTTTGGCAAAGCCTAGCGTTTTTTTTCAGGAAAACGAAATGGGCACCTCACTTAGCGTAGTGAGAGCACAAACTCCTGATGAGTGCCGCTTGCATCTGGATGCAGTTTGGGGAGGTGGAAAAGCGTACACAAAGCCAGCTGCCAATAGGAAATGATTCCAAGAATTTTCTTTAGCTTTGTATTCCACATTGGCACAGTATGGAGAAGGATTTTTTCCTTTAACTTTTGTTCATTTGGGAAGTCTGTTACCATTATTATTTTCAGGTGCCGTAACTGCTTTTGATGCTTCTGAATGCAAAGGGAAATTTTTATGAAATAAGTAACACTTCTCTTCTTTCATCTCTTGGGATATCTGTTTTGTTTTGTTTTTTCCTAGGAATATAAGCTTTTTGTGTTTTGGGGTTTTTTTTTTTTTGTTTTTGCGATTTGAGGATTTTATCAGAGCCACAAGTGGTTCATTCTTGAGCTTTGTTTGCTGCTTCTATAAACGCTCCTAGCTGTTTCACACTGTGACACTGGAGATGTTTCTCAACACTCATTTAAAATAATTTGAGTATTTCCAGACAGCATTTCATTTCTTTTCATACTAGCTAGGAACGCATAAGAGCATGTTTATATTTTAATATTACAGAATATTCTGAGTGCCATGAGGGACATGGTGAAGCACCGAACGTCAGTTTTCATTGCCCACAGGTTGTCAACAGTGGTTGATGCAGACGAGATCATTGTCCTGGATCAGGTGAGGCTATCACCCTGTGAATATATAACTTTCACGTAACGGCAGTGCTCTTTGTAGAGAGTTTGTGACGCCCTGATATATTGAAACCCTCACCCAGCTACTGAACGCTCTGTCTTTGGAAATGAACCATGTGTTTAAAAAAAAAAAAAAATCTTGGCCAAGCTTTACTTTTTATGTATTTCTCTTTTTTGCAACTAATGGTTTTTCAGTTGTAGAAACTTTTGTGTGATTTGTGCGTGTGCGTATTATTACCTCATTTCTGTAGTACATGTAATTACACGTACTTTCTATGGACTATTACAAATATCACTTGATGTGATGAGATTGGTTTAATGTTGCATGTTTTTATTCTAATTTATTATATGCTCCTATCCGTTTGGGCTCCTAATGTGTTCCCCCAATTTATGCTTCATTCTCATTATACAGTGAGTGGCTCTTCATATGCATCCATTGTTTTTTTTTTTTCTTTTTTTTCTTTTCTTTCAATGGGGAGAGGACAGCATGCTCTGTTTCCGTGCAAATAAAACTGTTGTAGGCTTGTTCAACCTAATTATATCAGAAATCTGAGCACTATTCTCTATTATAGCTCTAGAAAATTATAATCATTCCCTTCCTGTACATATAGTACAGTCTCCCTTAACACGCATGTGCACACACACACACACACACGTTTCAGCTTTTGATTTATTAATATCACTATTCAGCACTTACCTTATATTCAGTCTGACCTAAGTCTGTTTTCTTCCGTTACCCATATTTGGCCATAGATTTAAAATAAATAAACGTCCTTAAAACAATAGTTACTTTTTCAACTGATAGTGCTGAAAATAGTACTCTAATCTGCAGGTAGTAGGTGTTAAATTCAGCTCTGCATTCATTTATTTTAGTTGTTATTAATATGCTTGTGACTATAGGTGTATTTAGTGGCTAAAATATGCACATCTGAAAGAAAATAAATTATTCCCGTAGTACACTAAATGATTTATTGGGGAATTAGAACAAAATCTGATGAAATGGTGACGTTCTTGGCCATCTTTGCCATACAAATCTCAGCTTCATATGAATCTAAAAGTTATGTAGTGGAATAAACTCCCTCATACTTCTCTGTAGATTTTTTGTTCTGTTTTGTTCTGCTCATTTTTTCTGCTTTTGCCAAAAAATCATTTCCTAAGGTGTATCCTTTATGTAACTGCATGTTACAACATCTTGCAAATGTTTTTTAACATGTTAAAAGGCAATCTGTGGTTTTTTTGTTTTGTTTTGTTTTCGATGCAAGTTTTCACAGTTTACTAGGAGCGTGTTTTGCGTTACAGTGTAACTGTTAAGAATAAAAACACAACCTAAAACTGTAGAACAGCTAGGGTACTCACTTTCATGAACGGTTTTAGTGTAAAAGCCCTTGTGAATGAGCGAGGCAGCATGGTGCAGCACTCTTTAGTGTCCGACTGCTTCATTGGGAATCGTTGACGTTTGCTCGGCAGAAAGTTGCCTCTTGTCGTCCCAGCTTGAGTGCTGCGTTAGCAACCAGTTAAATGAGGGTCAGTAATGGAAAAGAGGCAAGAAAATTGCGATTGTTTTCGCTCAGTGATGTTAAATATTGCCTTGCAGTGTCAGCACCTTTGCCTCGGTAAAATCAGAATAATTAAGTAAGTAAACAAACACTGTATTAACAATATTGATGTCAATGCTGCAAAGCTGAGCAGAGAAGTTAAATTTCTGGCAATGTGAAAGTTATAACAATAGCTTACTTCAAAAGCCCAGTCTCCGCTACAGCGAGCTCCCTAAATTAACCACTTAGAGTTTTTAAATAAATTCAACAGTTACGTTGGCCAAGTATACGTTTGTTAAGATTCCACCAGCACGACTACTAATAAATGTGACAAGACCCAATTTTGTTTCCCAGCATGTTCATCAGCAGCTGTCACAAGGAGGTAGATTTAATTGTAGATCAGAATTTGGAACTAAGACAAAATCCATGTAGTTGTCTGTATAATACTGTCTTTTCCCAAAAGAAAAAAATTGGTACAGAATGAATATATTAATTCAAGCTGAAGTCAGCAGATGTAAACGTCTCTCTCAAACTAAAAAGATGGGAGTCTGTGTTTTGGAGAATAGTGTTGTTTGGCTGTCTGTTGGGTTTGGGTTCTCCCCTCCTCTTCCTCCTTCCCCTTTCCACAGTATGGTAGTCAATAAATCAGCGTTGTTCTTTCAAAACGGAGAGCACAGATGAACTGAACTGCTCGCTCAGTTTTCCTGATGGCACTTCTAATGACAGAAGCGACTGAGGTCCCTTCTGAAAACACAACTTACATTAATTGCTTTTAGAATCGGATTTTAAATGTTTCTTAAATGTTTTGTTAACTGCCAGAAATCCCTTTGTGCGAGCTCCCTTCTTTCAGCTTCTTTCAGTGCAGCTTAAGTACGTTTGTTATTAAGTAAAGACAAATACATGTTTGTCTTGGTACATCCAAGTGCCTGTTGCACTAGTAGTTTAACACCTTGCTGTCCATGTGAAGTTCTACATTTATTTTAAATGGCGCTTCCAGTTCAAATAGTAAAACTTTTCAAGTTGGAAGGCTTTAAATTTTGTCCAGGTGGATAAAAGGAGTCTATACTCCTATTGACGTTAAGTTTAAGAATACAGCTCCTTTTTTTTCCTGCATGCAGTGTAACCCAAAATGCAACGCTCTGTGCGTTCAGTCTTTCCTCTGCTGCCCCAACCTCCTCCTAATTCAGAATTGCTGTGAGCCGCACTGCGTGTTGGCAGTGCTGATGTTCCTGAAGATCTGCTAATGTCGATTGTTGACTTCTTCCACTCCTTTTACAGGGTAAAGTTGTTGAACGTGGTAGACATACAGACCTCCTTGCAAGCCCGAGCAATCTCTATTATGAGATGTGGCATACTCAGAGCAGCAAAGTGCGAAGTAGTAGTACCAGTCAGAAATGGGAAGAGCGAAACAGTCGGATGTCCAAAGAGGAGGAAAGGAAGAAACTACAAGAAGAAATTATCAATAGTGTGAAAGGCTGTGGAAACTGTTCTTGCTAAGTATGATCCTGGATTAATCTTCTATAACAGGTTAAAAATGCACAACGTTGCAGTGAAGCGCAGCTCTTGTTTTTAACTCATGATTCAAAAACTTCCTGGGTTTTGCAGTTTTTGGTTTTTATTGTTTCTCAGAGGAACATAACTTCAACCAAAGGAGTCTTATTTCTGCATCTTTACAAATCCCTGATATTCAATTACATTTGCAAGAGCTGAGCTTTTTCAAAAAAACTTTAAAATTACTTCTAACTAGCAGTATGTTTTATGGCAATTTTTAGGTATTGGTAAATTCTCCTGGTAGTTGCCTGAGATGGATCATTAAATTGTAAACAGATTTGTGCTCGATTTACGTTATTTCTCATCATTAATGGCCGATAAAGATGGCATATTTTAATTGTAATCGGGCTAATCTGAACTCATTTGCTAGTGAGGAGGATGCAATTCAAATTCTTCAGAGGTGCTCTGGTTTGAAATTTTCTTCTTTGTGAAACTTAAGAGGCCCAGCAAAATATTAGAGGCTTCTAATAATAGCAAACTAAGTATTGAAATAATCCATCTCACTGCTCCAAAGCACCTTTCATACTGGTCTATCCAGGAAGCGCATTAATATTCTTTTAAAAGAGAACTAAAAGTTCTAAGAGTTGGCAAAAGTCTGAAATTGAAAAAATGGTGTGACTTTACAGAAAACGAACAAAACGTGTGTAACTATTAAGAATCTGAAGCTTTCTCTTAAATGAAAATGTCAGAGTTCAAAATTCTGTATCCTCAACATCTGCTTCAAAGTAGAAGTCAAAGCAGAATGAGTCAAAGCTGAGTCAAAGCAGAATGCACTCAGCTTGATTTCAGTCCTGGTCTTAGGGAGCAATTAAGATTCAATAAAGACTACCATAAATTTATACTATGTCATTAATATATGAGAAATCGACCTGGATAATGTTGAAAGTGTTGCTCCAATAATCTTATGATTTTAGTAGAAAAAATTTCTTCAGTGTCAAGACACCTCAATTTCTGTGACTTGCAGGACACCACAGGATTGTATGTTTAGGCCTTGCCTTTCCAGGGAGATTTCCCATATCTGTTTATCAGTAGTTATTCTGGTATAATTCCTCATTTGATATAGATGTATATACACACGCATATACATATATGTGTGTGTGTGTGTGTATATATATATGTATGTATTTTTAATAAGAAAAAGGACATCTTTTTCTTGGACATTTAAAAATAGCATTCTTCTGGGGAATTATACCAGTATAATTACACTGAAGTTATGTTTGCGAATCAGGTACAAGCTGTCTCGATGTGGGCACTAGCAAAGCTAAGTAGTGAATTTGGTGCTTCTGGAAACTTAGCTGCAAATATTGTCGGGTTTTTTGTTTGTTTGTGTTTTGTTATACCTTTCTTTACAGCTGGATATAGCTGGATATAACTTAAAGGGAGTTAAACCTTTATTTTTTCTGCTAGCCATTCATTTTCTCTCCATTAAAATGATGCAAGAAAATAAAATGTTATTAATCCTCAGGTAAAAATTATTTTAACGATAACATCAAATGCAAGGACTTTTGCTTTCATCCTTGGAGTGCAGAAGCAACATAAAGCCTTGGTAATGTAGTGGCAACCCAGAATTATTTAATTTACAATCTTCCTTTAATTTTCACCAATTGTCTCCTTTTTTAAATTTGTAATAGCAGTGTGGTAGATTATAAAGGTGCAGTTATCTCTGAACCGCCAGAAACAGGTAGCAACAGTTGAGGCTTTTCCCTTTCCTATGTCGTGAGTAACAAAAAACAAAACACCCCTCTCCCCCCAAAAGCTAGTTTTGGAATTAAATAATTTTTCTACTGTGGCGTGCAGCAGATAACGTACGAAGGCTGTAAATAGTAATATTTCAGTCTTGAGCACCTTTTTCCTTTGGCACAAGTTTTAGAGATGTCACTAGTCTGAAAGATGGAGGAGAAGGTTTCTTTTCCTCCAAGAACAGTTGCCAACATGACAGGGCTTTGAAATTCCAGTAGTTGTCTAAAGAGAGAACGAAAACTAGCGTTATGGGATTTTCAGTAGTCTGAAACCACGAGCCATTTTAACGCCAAACTTGTTTGTGTTTGTGGAGGGGAGGACGTATTCAGATGAATAAGTGATTATACAAAGCTGATGTATTTAATCACCGAGGACAGATTTTGCAAGTACCGCAAGAGGTGTGGAAGAAAGGAGCATTTTCCGATGGTAAATATCAGTGACGATCAAAGTTCAGCTAAATCTGTAAAGGGTTTGCTAAGGTAAGACTGTTGCCTATCTCTGCCGTCATTTTTATGCCAATCCATATGCTGCAGCTTTGTCCAGATTTAAGCAACCTGGGTGACGGGAAGTAACTAAAAAGGCGGCTTGTGATACAGTAGAATATTTATTTTAAAGAGTTGCAGTGACTTCTGGGAGATGACTGAGAATTTCCTGTGCCGTAGCGTTGTTAGATAAACATTCCTGACTTGTTTGAGGCTTTATTTGAATGCTCTCTGTGCTTATCTATCTGCTTCTTAAGCACAGGTTACCAAAATGCACCTAACCCTTGTAAACTTAGCAGCAGCACACAGTAAATGGGAGGGGGTAGAACTTCCGTACTGATGATAGCAAAAAAGTGTTTGCTTTCTTTTGGTTACCCCTTTCTCCTCCCAAATTAAATGGGAAAAGCTTCCTAGAAAACCAGAAGAAGTTGTTGCACAGCTGAAGAGTTGCGAATGAGCAGGATTCTCTACTGCCACAACCTCCCACTATTCTATCAAACAGATGCAAGAACAAAATACTTAGTGTGTTATGTTTTGCTTGTGAGCAGGCATCTCAAGGAAGTAGAAGCAATACTTGGTGACTCTTTGCTTACTAGAAGATAAAAATTGACTCTTGTTTTTTAAAGAATTTTTATTCGTAGGACATGACTCCAAAATCACCATTTTAAGCAAACATTTATGACACTTGCAACTTTGGAGACTTGAATGAAATCTGTAGTGCACTGAGTCTTGAAGCAATATATATGGCATCTCTTTAAAAACCCTTACAATTTGTTACAGAAAATTGATTTATTTTGAAGCTCTCACAGCCTCTGTGGATCTTCGTAATTCTGCTCTTCTGTAATCTGGAACATCGCTTTTCTAAGCAGCAGCTTTTCATATTCTTGAAATTTTGCTGGACTTGTAGCAGGTTGTTTTTCAAAATTAAAGTCATCTACTACCATTACAAAATCAGTTTGCCATTTTGCAGTCAAAAAGCCATTTATTTTTTCCCTTATTCTCCTTTTTTTTTTTTTATTTTTTTAAGGAAATGTGTATGTTTGTGAAAAGTGGACAGAAAAATGATTGGTTCTTGCAGTGCATATTCATCTATTGACTCTCGACTTACAGGATTTAATTTTAATTCCCATGCAAGAACTTGCTGAGCACAGAAAGTGAAGACACGAACCAAACTTTCTTTGGCTATTCTAACCTCCAAGTTAGCAAACTTGTGGTTTGGTTTTGGCTTTCAAAAATGGAAATTCATAATTTGCTACTTGCAGATCTCTGTTTACTCTCAGCAGTGCTGTTATATGGATTAGGAGTTGCATACATCTCTTGAACATAATTTAAAATCTGAATTTTAAGTTTGTTTTGAGGATGGGAATGTAAAATATACATTGTACAGTAAGATGTTCAAGCAAAAAAAGGCTAGTTTAAAACCACATTGTATAAACATCTGCTGGAAGACTTCTTACCCTGACTCTTGTTGTTCATCTGTGTATAGCTAATTATTACTAAATAAAGGATTTATCTTTGTGAATAGACATGGGTGTCCTGTTAAAATGACTCCTTCAGCTTTGCAGCAATTTCCAGGGGAAACAGATATTTTGTCAGTCACTCGTATGGAATAAGAATAGCGATGATTTTAATAACAGCTATGGGAGTATGGCTCTTCCACCCAGAAAGGGAAGCTTTGAATTGGCTTTTTTAGTAGAAGTAATTGTTTGCAGTGCTTGGTAATGACAGTGAAGCTGATAGCAAATTATAGGGCTGTGGGTTAGCGTTAGGCAACCAAACTTCAGATGATCAATCAGAGAAAGGTAAGTTCATACAGTACACCCAAATTCTGTTCCTCCTCGGCTTTTTATATGCCCTTAATTTTCAACGTATCAAGCTCCAAAAACATGTGAAGAGCACTCACATTAGATGCATTGTGCTGATGAGAATGAAAATTCTTGTAAAAAGCTTGACTGTTACTTATTTTAAAATACTAGGTCATATCTTTATGAATGTAGATTATTATACATTCATATCTCTATGAATGTAGAATGTAGATTACTTATTTTAAAATACTAGGTCATATATTTATGAATGTAGACAATTTTACCTGCTCATCACTGAACTTGTGAACAGCAGAAGCAGAGCTGTTTTAAGAATTTGCCTGAGCCCTGCTTTTGACCTGACACTGTCTAATTACTGATTGGAATTTTTTTTTTTTTGTGCCGCTATAATGCTAGTTTTTCATTATCAAATGAGAAAGCAGGAAATAGTTTTTATTTAGCGACAGCGAATTTTGATAGTGCACTTACACTATATTGATCTGAGCTGCAATAGTCCGTGGTCATGCTGTCGCTCTGTTTCAGAGCAGTTGTTGCTGAGCCCTGCGTGGTCTTGGGAAGCGCACCGTTGTGTCTGTGAGATCTTGGAGCAGATTGGATTTTTTTTGTTTGTGTGTTTGTTGTTCCCCTCGTATGATTAGCGGAACTTCCAGCTGTTCTTTCTAAATGTTCATTTACTATATCTTTAAATCTTTTAATGATACTGTGCAGGGATATTCCATAAATGTTGACTGACAAAAAAATACCCTCATTAATTTTTGAGGGGAAAGAGCTATAATGGGAGTGTGAGGTTTTTTTCTCCATGTATACATATAACTTCTATTAATGCTAATTTCAGTTGCATGTGTGCATCAAGGAAAACAGTAATTACAAATCCAGTATTTTATAATCATCACATAAATTAGGAATCATTCTGAGGTTACTGTGTTCACTTAACAGCCCATCTGTGTTCAAACAATAGTTGCAGAAGTGACAATTTAGTATTCTATCGATTATCTATTGTTTCCCGGTGAGGAATTTTCCGTTACATTTTGGTCAGTGGAGCATCTAAACACTCCTTCCTACCTTCAGTCCTGACCTCTGCTGGAAATTATAGCTTTGGTCTGCACGCAGGATAAGAGCTTTGGCAACTGGATGTTTTCTTAACTGCATGCTGATGAACTTGTCATGTTTGTCAGGCGCTAGGGGAAAAAGTTGCAAAGGGATTTGGCGGTACTGTGATGTATAGTTGTCATTGATGAAATGGTGATGGAGGCAAACTGTAGATATCTGAGCATCCTGTAGAGCTGAATTTTTCTAGATTTTGGGATAGTTCTTGACTGTCGTCAGTGTGTACATCTGTTCTTGCTTCCTTTTTAAGGAAATCCTCAAATGTTAGTCCCTGAAAAATATTTTTTTTAATTCCTGTTAGGTAACTTTTGATCAGCTTCTGCTGAACTCGGGGAAAGGACCTGAGCTTTATACTGCCTGGCCTCCCAAGGAGGCTGCCAGAGTCCATCCGCGTTTTGTCTGCTAGGCCTGTTGAGCGTTGCCCGAATGCCTGGGGGCTGGGGGAAGTATGGCTATATGTTGTCCTGGGGATGCTTAAGGAAAGAGCCAAAGAAACTGGTGTAAACCATCAGTCACAAAGTGCTGGGCGAAACAGAAATTTGGTCCGTCCCGTCATGATCCTTTTTACCTAGTGTTATTGTTTATACCAGCAAGCAAGGAGACTGCTGCGTGCAAGGCTAATCATAGCTTCCTAAACAGACTTTAAGGCAAGTCCCATGAGAATAAATAATGACTAACTTTAAGTGACTGGGTGCTAGTGAAAGTGGGGCTGATGGAATATGGTTGGTCTGGGTAATTGAACCTGTGAATTCATAGAGCTGCTCTGCAAGCTTCCCACGGGTGACAGTTGCAATGTAATCTTGACCTTACCTACCTTAGAGTTTTATTCCAGCGTCTCTTTCTCAGATGAGAAGTGCCAATTGTGCCAGGTGGCACAGCGTATTTATTATTTGAAAAAAAAGAGGAAAAATTCATTTTTACTTGTGACTTAGGGCAGAATTTAAAATAGCATCCCCAAAGTTGAAAGACTAACGTGACATCTCAGCTCCCCACGCGTTTCTTGTTTTCAATGCTTTGTAGCCCTTTATAAAATTGTCAAGTAAAGCATTTATGTTACATAAAATGTGTCTTGTAAAGCTATCAACTTTATCGGAGGGAGGGGAGGGGGGAAAGGAGAGAAATTTTCCTTCCATTATGGAGATGAAGAAACAGGCTTGAACACTATATATCGGCTTGTGTTGTGTCCTCTCAATGTGCTGTAAAGTGCTCCACAAATGAAATCTGAGGATTTTAGAAGCCTTGTACAAACACCAATAAATATTTTGAAAAGTGAAGTGTGAAAAGAGGAAAACTTTTCATTTTAAGCTTGTTACAGAAAATGGAACGTGAGGGTCAGGCTGGCCCATAATCTGGGACGAAGGCTTCAAATACAGTTGGTGCACAAATTACGAAATGGGCTATGCAACTTTTAAAAAAGGGAAATACGTGTTAGTGTATTTTCACACAATGGTGTAAGAATTTTTATTTTTTCAGAGACTCGAAAAAGTTACTGGCTTTTGGAGAACACACACAGGAGAAGATTGAACTTGCTTACAACGAAAAGCAGGGAAAGCTTTCTGGTAAAATGAGCGTTTGCAGAATTTGTGAAAGGTAATGAGTGTCATGGCTTGGTGATGCTGTTAATTGTTAGGTGATTCAAGAAAGCAAAGGTATTTGGCAGGATACGAGGGAGGGGGAAGAGCACAAGGTAAAACTATTTTAGGCTGGAGCTTTCTTCTACCCTGTGCAAACTGCATGGTTTCTTAAGAAGCCCGCGTTGGGGATTGTGCTGGTACTGGGATTTGGGTGTTCGGACCTAGGATTGTAAGATCTCACCTGCACCAGGTCGAGTTTTATGACCAACCTCTGGTCTCTGCTGGAAGGGAGTTCTAAGTAAGGGCTTATTAAAATATTAGCAAGTTAAGCCAAACAATTAAAATGCAAAGTAGTAATATGCTATTACTTACATGGGGAAGCTGCCTTATGAAATAGATGGATGTCTGTCTATATGGCCGGCTCTCCCACTGGCCGCATAGTCGGCGTCACAAATATCTGTAGCATTAACAGAGGAAAATTTTGGCAGACCTGGACTCTTTAATTGCTCAATCCAGACTTGTATGCTTGCATAAAGTAGAAAGGGCATGTATATATCTGAGAATTGTTTAGAGTGGAGACTGGGAGGAATTTGAAAAAATTAGTAACCTGAAAAAATTGTATCACGGAACACCTGAAGTTTATTTTTGAGAGTGTGGAGAGAATCGATTCATGTTCAGTTGTGTGTGATGTGCGTGCACCACAGAATGGCTATAGTGAATATTCCTGAATATGTCACTTGCCTGAGCAAACATTGCTTCCTAAGTTTCCAGGGCAAAAATAGATTAATGACCCTAAGCTGTACAGTAACTTTTAAAAATGTTTAAAAGTATTTAAATATAAGCAGTAGAGGAAGAGAAATTCAGAGAAGTGATATAGGGGGGAGGGTAGAAAAGTTTCAAAAAAAAAAAAAAAAAAAAAAGATTTTTCTAAATTCAGTCCCTCAAATGCAACGGAGAGGTGCTACTTATGTTTGCTATCTCCAAAGTACGGTCAGAGTTTTGCTGTATTCTTAATCTTGAATCTTACAACTTTTAATTGAACAAAGAAGAATTGCCTGTACTTGGGCATGATAATCTTGGCCTCGTGTAACAGTGGCTGCTTCCTGGGGTTTTCCTTGCAGCAGTTGCGTGCATTTCTCTTTAAACATTACCTTACTCACTCTGTTGCCTCTTCTTCCTCGCTTGTCCCCATACCAGGGCTGTAATTCTCCTATAATTCTTCTGTAATTCTCCATGAAAGATTTGCTGTCTGCAAACTTGAGGAAGCACTGCCAGCTTCTCTCTCAGGACTACTTCCCCCCCACCCCCTTGCGTGCTATGGAACAGTGCTGTCTTTCAAAGGACTTTGTTGTCAGGCGACCTCAAGAGGGATGGGACACAGCACAATGAAGGCTCTTGTGCCAGGTTTGTACCTTTCATGTAGCAGCTGTCTTGTGGGGACAGGTTTGCTTTATGAAATGCTGCTCAGTGAGCTCTGCCATAGCATCTGCTTTTTCCGCTTTGGGCAGGTAAGTAGCCTGAAATACGAGGCAGCTAATAACAGCAGCCTACTCAGTGCTGTCTTTTGTCCACTGTTTTATGTATTATTTGGGCTGTACATGCACCTAATTCTCAATAGAGTCTCTGTATGTGATCGTGTTACGTAGTAGTGCTTCCAGAATGGCCAGAGATAGTCTTGCAGAAAGTGATACGTGCACACAATTCATGGAGTGTGAGAAGAATAATTTTGAATGTTACATCCACTGACAATCAGTGTTTGCTAGAACCCTGCGTCTCTGCTTAGTGTTGCCGCAAAGAGCGTATCGTTCTGTTCAAACGTGTGCTTCAGTGCTGCATCTTGGATATATCCATCCGTATGTCCATTCATGCATACATGGAGTCGTCTGAATTCAGTCCCATTAGCCTTTCATATCGATCATCTGGAATTTTTGATGTTGGAAATCTTCAGCTGACCACGGAAACCTTCCTCCACCAAATGTGGAACTCTATATCCTGCTGAGTCTCAGCAAAGGGAAGATTTAG